CGGGGTCCCGGGCTGCCCTGTACGTCGGGGAGCAGCCAGTGCCCGGGGGCCCCCGGCCTTTGGCGAGTGCAGCAGCGGCCGCAGCCCCCTGTAAGCAGGGCGGGAGCCTGCGGGGCCGCTGCTCTCCATGCCCAGCTCCATTTGCCCAGCGTGCCCGCCTCGGACCCCGGCTGCAGCTTCAAGCAAGACGCCCGGAGCCCGTGGAGTTGGCAGCGACTGCTGGTGAGCTTGGCAAGGGGCTCTGGCGGGAGCTGCTGGGGCTTGGGCGCAGCCTCGTCCTCCGGGGAGGCTTGTTCTGTTCTGGGCCTCAGGTGGGAGGCGCTGGCGCCCCAGGTCGCTGGAGAGTTTCACTTTGGAGAGCCCAGCTCCTTTGTGATACTTGTGCTGGGAGTTGGGGTAGAAGCATGTTATGTGAGTATTAGTGGTGTACATACAGGAGTAGGGGTGGGCGTTAGGGTGCAGGTGAAGGCTTTTTCTGCTTCTGGGTGGTGTTAGGGTGCTTTTTGTTCAGGTTTCTGAGTGTTATTTTTTCTTTTTCAGCACGTGGCGGTGGAGGTAGCAGCAAGACCTGAGCCTGAGGCATCGCTGTCTCCTCCTGCCCTGGAGAGCAGCAGCAGCTGGAGCTTCCATTCCCCTCCTCCCCAGAATAAAATGCTTTGTCCACCTGTAGGTTACCCCCAGGGGCCCCTTTCACCCCCAGCTTTGCTGTAGCTCATGCCAGGGCCATTGCACTGCACAGGCACTCTTAGCTTTGCCCCAGTTGTTGGAGTTTTGTTGTTGTGAGGTTACTGTGTGCTTCTGGKTGGACTTGAGGGCCCGTGTGGCAGCTTGCAGGATGGAGTGTGGTGGTAGGGAGAGGTGTTGTGGAGGTGTTGAGGTCCAAGCAAGCGGTGGTAGGTACTGCAGGGTAGGTGGAGGTGCTGTGGAGATCTCATGGTAGGAGTGCGGGTGTCCTGCAGTGCTGTAGGACGATGCATTTTGTCGTGGCCGTGGCTGCCGGCCGGGCTGTAGCTCTGGCTGTTGGGCGCTGGTGATGCTGTAGTTGCCTGTTGGGCCCAGAGTAGGGGGCAGAGTGACGGTTGCCTGTGCAGTACAATTGGCCCTGGCTGCAGAGTTACTCTGAGCTGGCTGTTGAAAGCTACATCGCCCCAAACTCCTCCCTGGTCGTTTACCACAGTTATGTTACTGAAAGAACTCTAAGCCTGTGATATGTTTGTGTATGTCTTGTATATTCTATGAAAGAAACCTGTTCTCAGTGCGGGATCCCAGGTAGTCATTTAATTAAAAGCATGCTTTTAAAGAGCCTTGGATTTGTATTTCAAAATAGAAAATTTATTGAATATTTCTGAGCCTTTTAAGTCTATGTGGAAATCAACACCAGCACTTTTCATCTGCTTTTCCCCTGGTTTTATACTGATAATATACACCACCTTGTAACTAACACACTGTTAAGCATCTCTTTCTGCCTCTCCTCGCATGGATTGAGTTATTTCACTATAGGTGTGATTGCTTGTGTGTTCTTTGCCTGAAGTACCTGAGTTTTCTTCTCTAAATTCCAATTTTCTCTTGCTACGACTATAGCAGATGAAGTAGCAGTCATCAAAATCTTCCCAGGCATCACACTCTCTGAGGTAAATCTATGTTTCTACTCATACCAGAAAACTTTATGTTTTTATGGAAAAACAAGACTTCTTAAACTGCCCATGTTTTTCTGAAGTGCAAGTGGTAGTTTTCAGTACAACCTCATCATTTTTTAAGAGATAAATGCACACATCTGAGAACAGTCCTAGAATGATTTCTTTCCTCGATAGTGGGAGTTGGGCACATACACCTTAACTTTGGAGATGCATGTAGTTAGGTTGCTCCAGCTACCCTTACTTTTGCTAGAGCTCTACCTGGATTTCCACGGGACTTGGAAATCTATTCCCTTTCCTGGAGTCTTGCTTTTCAAAGGATTTTATTATTTAAATGGGAAAAGAGATGGGGGGGAGGAAAACCCACCCACAAGCTCTTTTTGAGATGAAATTTTTAATTATACATCTGACTGGGGAGGAAAACAAAAACTCTCAGAAATCGTGGTTTTCAGTTGTTACTGAAAGAACACCTAGTGTCAAGTTTGTGTTCCTATTGTTATTGCCCTTGCCTTATTCCATACCTCTTACAAATTCAGCATTTTGTTATGTTACTGGAACCTGTAGAAACGCAAAATAGCTGTGATTAGATTCTGGAGAAGCTCAGAAAACAAGGTTTGAAGCAGAGATGACACAATCCATGCCTTCTTCCACCTGCCCCTTTGATCACTGTTGAGAGAAGGGGGGGGTGGGGAAAAAAGGCCCTTCTTGTGTCTCTCACTAACCTAGCTCAGGGTGAATTTTGGTTTTACATATGAACCTCTTCCAGGGAGCAGCTGCCTTGCCCTGCACAGACCTCTTGTTTTCCATGGCCCCTCACTTGACTCCTCCTTCCGAAGATATGTACCAGTGAAAGGAAAGAGGTTGTATGTTAGAATGCAGCTGCTAGAGCGCGTGTCTTTGGACACTGAACTAAATGCGACTCCTAGAGAAAATGAGCAAAGCTGCAGCCTTTCTCTGCTTCAGAGCGTGCAAGAAGGGGTTACAGAGCTGGGATGCTCAGCACTGACGTGTGTGTTTGCCTCTGCAGTGGGAGCCTCTGCAAAGTTCAGGAACAGCCTTGTGTCTGTTTACACGGAGCTCGCCTGCCGTAATGTGCCTGAACCTCCAGCTCTTAAGAGACTCCCCTTTCCACTAAGTAAAAGCCAGTAAAGGTCAATGCCACACGCCAGATTATTTAAGCTGGAGGTCGCCTAGTATTTTAAGGAAGAAGCTGGAGTAGACTTCAGGCCTCCTGCTTTTGAGGGCAGCATTCCAGAGACGAGGCTTGGTCTTTTGTTCTCTCAAGTTTTGTTGAAATTCATAAGTTGGCTGTAGAAAACAGCATAATTAGGAACAAATTATCTATTTAAAAATGTTCTCACTGTCTCTATTTCCTGGGTTCCCCCCATTATCTGCTAGCAGATAAAGGCTGTTCTGAGAGTTAGCAAATCAGTTTTAATAGGTGCTCAGAGATTATCTGTACATTTTTTTTTCATGCTTTTCATGTGCACTTGTTTCAGTTTTAATGTTCTAATCTGTGGAACATACTGCTACTGCAATCAGAATATTTATGTTATTAAAAGAGGGGGGATTAACTGCTAATTGCACACATGGAGCAGCTCTGCAGTGGCCATCTCCCATACAATTTAGATTAAATCAGCAGGTAAATATGATAATAGGTTGCTTTTTATTCATCCAGCAAACAAGAAAATACTGTCTGCAGGAGCTGGCAGCAAAGCTGTGTGAGCATTCAGCACTGACTGGGCAAACATTCACCTGCCACAACTGAAAATTTTGGGCAAGTTGGCAGAATCTGCATGTGCATGTGAGACAGAGCTACTGTTTGTTGCTTTGGACAGGTCTTTATGCTGGAGAATATTTGTTTGCAGGTGCCTTTATTTCTCCATGCCTTTTGAATTGTTATTACCAACCGAAACAGCGGGAGCGGTACCAGGCAGACCTGCTCTGGCTAGGGGCTCAACCACAGGTTTGGCTGGAGCCCGGCTGTGCCTGGGATTGTGTTTTGGGGTATTTCCAGTAGAAGAAAAAAAAGAGAGAAGAGAAGAGAAGAGAAGAGAAGAGAAGAGAAGAGAAGAGAAGAGAAGAGAAGAGAAGAGAAGAGAAGAGAAGAGAAGAGAAGAGAAGAGAAGAGAAGAGAATCCTGAATCCTTCCCTGATTTCTTTTTTCTCTGCTCTGTCCTCAGAAAGTATACTCAGTGTGTGAAATGAGTTATTCTGTGAGGAGGTGGGAAAAGGGGAATAAATAAGCAAGCTCGTGACTGTGGAGACTGAAGTGTACGTTGCCCTAGAAGGCAGCAGGCAGCTGCCTGCATGCTGGTCCTGGCCAGGGTTTGGGCAGATCAAAGACACCGTGGCTCTGCACACACAGGGTCCTTCTGCCTGTGACCCACTGCCCAGTCTCCATGTGCCCGGCGTTGCAACTACCCAGTCAGCCCATTCCAGCTTTTCTTTGGCACAAGGTCAGTGTGCTAAACACAGGAGGCCCGAGGAGGCCGCGCGAAAGCCTGAAGGGCCCCTAGGCCCACACACGCACGGAGGTGCGGGAGGCCGCCCGTTAACAGGAGCTTTTGAAGCTAGGGGAAGGGAAAGCCAGGCAAATGCACAGAGCCCATTTTGTGTACCCTATCTGAGCTCCTGGGACAGGAGGCAGGACCAAAGTTCCTTGATAAAGCTGCCCTAGTGCGTCGAGTAGACCTGCTCCCTCAGACAGAGCAGCACCAGCCACCGCGAAGCACCTTGCTGGGTGACCCTAGACAGGTAAAGATGAGCTGTAGGTGTCCAGCAATGATAGATGCAGGTTCAAGTAGTTCTTAGGCAGGCCTCTGCTATCAGAGATCATTTTTGAGGCGCTGGCCTTAGCCCTGAGCTTCTTCCCTGGCTAAAAATGCATGAGCATTGCTGCCGTTGTGATTTGCTGGGGAAGACGTTGCCCACGTTAGGCCACGATTTGGATCAAATGAGTGTGAGTCTTAGCTCTTTGCATTCTCTGCTGTGTCCCTCAGCCCGTTGGTGCCTTGGTTCAGCACGGGGAAAGCAGCGGTGAGTTTGTTCTCGTCATACAGAAGTGCTGTGCAAATAACACAGGGCTGGGAGGCATTTGGATGCTATGGTAACAGGAGCTGTGTAAGTATCATAGATGAATGAAAATTGCTTTATCACTGCCATTATTTGTCGGTAGATGAGAAGTCCTATTTCCCATGCCCAGGTGGCCTTTGCATTATGTTTTGCCTATATACTGCCATATACAAGGAGAAATCTCATTAAGATTAATGACAGCACATAACAGGACAAATGAACATTGGTAGCAGGTGTCAATGACCACAATTAGAAAGGTACTTTTCTCTAGGGCTAAACTGGGGAGTTTTATTAACCCCAGAGCAGTCCATCTCCGCTCAGCATACTGAGCAAGCCATCAGTGGAAAAAATACCAGCTTGTTGAACTCACAGTGTAACCCTCTCTAATTATAACTGCTGAAGTGTGAAGTCTTCATGCAGCAGGGCATACGTAGTATGATTTAAAGTCATTCCTGACTGCTCAGGGCACTCTGTTGCAGACACATGCCAAACCACAGGGAAGGCAAAGAATTAGCCACGGGACTGCTGTTGGGAAGCAGCTCCCGTTTCTGCCACTGGAATATGGCACTGCAGCCTGTTGCAGCCTAACGCTTAATGCAGCCATCTCGTCTGCTGACACGTCCAGCCACAAAACAAGGAAGTTGTCCACTTTTCCTATGAAAACTTGAATTACTGGCATGGACGCCTACACATAGGTCTAACTGTTTTTGAGGGAAGTGCAATGCTTTATGGGCTTTAATTGCAGGATTTTTTAACCAGCAAAAGTTTCTCCTTGCCCTGCCAGTGCAGGACTGACATCTTTTAATGCAAATATCCCTTTTATCCCTTCCAAAGCATCCCAGTTTGGAGTGAAATCTAGGAGAAAGAAACGGTGCTTATCTGGACATATCGTGGCAGAGTTATTCTGCCACTCTGGTAGTTGCTACTTTCCACTTGCTCTACTTATCCCTACTATATTTCTGCATCCAGTCAGATAAAAGTTGCCAGATACTGCTTCTTCTCCAGGTGGCTTTCAATGCTAGGGAAAAAATATGACAATTTATGGGCAAGATGGAAAGTAAACAAATCACTTAACGAGAGCTAATTATTAAGGGATTCTCACAGGGAGCCTTCCCTGGGTAATCGCCACTCATTATCAACTGTGAGTACAGGAAGATAAAATAGTTTTAAGAAGCTTAATCAAGATTCAAAATACTGGTAGCACCCAGCAGCTGAACCCAGGACTTGAGCAAGGAGTGTGAGCAGTTATTTACCAAGAGTCCTTGAAAAACTCGCTAGCTAACTAATTGGACAGATTTCCACCAGCAGCTCTCCTAAGGCCTATTCTCTAGTCCTTTGGTAAACATTCAAAAACCT